ATTAATTATTATTACCCCAATGTTTACTATTATTATTATCTTTACTATCGTTGTTATTATTTTTATTTTGATTGTTACTATTATTACTATTTATTATTATGGTTGTTATAACACGAATCATTATTATTATCTATCATCCACATCACTGTTATTATTACCATTACTATTATTATTATTATTATTATTATTATTATTATTATTATTATTGTTATTATTGTTATTATTATTATTATTATTATTATTATTATTATTATTATTATTATGGGCAGCAGTTTGCCTTGAGCACCTTTGAATCCGTCGGGTGGAAACCAGTGAAAAATATCTTCTGGCTGGAAGGCAGTAGAAGCACGGATTTGCATGTCGCGAGTGTAGGGTTGCGGCTCTCGTTCTGCTGCTGCTGCTGCTGCTGTTGCTGCTGCTGCTGCTGCTGCTGCTCTTCCTGCTGCTGTTGCTGTTATGCAATTAGTTAGCACGCAGAGTATAAAAAACCTTCGTAACAAACAACTCACTCGCAACAAACCGTCCGCCAGCTCCCCTGGACAACGGGCTGAGGATTTGATTCGCAGAGGAGATAGAAGCCTGGTATTGCATGCCGCCAGCATCGACGGCGTCGCTGTGCAGCGCCGCGCTTGGCCTCCTTACGCTGCTGGAGCCGCGCGTCTTTCCCTGGGCAGTTTGTTGCATCGAGCCTCGGGTAGAGCTGAAGACAGCAGTGCCAGTTGGTGGGGCAGCAACAACAGTAGCTGCAGACGCAGCAGGGTTCTGTGTTGGTGTTGCTGCACTTTGTTGAGGTGTACTGGCAGATGTGGTCCCAGGGGATGCCGCTGATGGTGCAGCTGCTGCGGGGGAGTTTGCACCCGCCTGAACTGCAGAGCCAGCAGCAGCGGGAGGAGCAGAGCCACCACCAGCAGCAGCAGCAGCAGCAGGCTGGAGAGGAGGGGATTGTGCTGCGTTCCTAGGCAGAGTCTGAGAAGCTGCTGCAGTTGACTGCAGCACCGCCTGGCTGTGAGTTGAGACGACCAGGCTGTGCACGGAGTGATCCAGTTTAGCAGTAGTGACTGAAGAGAAGAGTTGATATTTCAACTTATAGAAAAACAAAAATTTTTTTTTTTTCGCGAAGCAGTTGTGCATGAAGTAATTCTTTTTATTTTAATATACAAAATACAAAGATCTATACAGACTCACATGATCTGCTATACGGGCCGCT